TACTGGATTAATTCCAGCATTTTAAGATTAGTGCTCTGTGAAATGGATCGCTATCTCTGGCTCTTTCTCTCTTAAACATAGAAGACTGGAGGGACAGCTGACAGAGATAATAAACAATCTGAAGTCCAAAATTTTTTGAGATTGTTTCTTTCTCATAGAAAGCTCAAGAACAATGGGTCATCACTTCAAACTAAGGCCTACAAAGCAACAGAAAATGCCAGAAAATATTTTTAGTAAAAGAAATGGTAAGCATGTGAAACAAACTGTCAGTTCAGATGGTTGGAAAATAAACCACAAAGGATTTCAAAAAGGAACTAGAAAATTCCTGTCAACTGAAAAGATTCAGTGTTATTCAGTTTCGAGTTAGATACATTGAAAGATTGTACTGGATTAGGAAATTGGATGGCTAAACTATATGGTCTAATCCTGCCTGATACTGTTACTATGTTTTATTACATAGTAAATCAAAGGTTGAGAATAGTGGTTTTGGATAAATTAGTTTAGGTTTTATATTACTCTTTATTAAAAACATGTTTTGTCCTGTACAATTTGACTTCTAAGAGGATTTGAAATTGATGGGTTGGAAGCCCTAGGAATGGAGGATAAGAAGTATTCGTAAACCAGTCTGTGGTTATCTAGTTTCCTTTACAATCTCCAGAGTTTGCAGATAAGCGCTCTGAGACACTAGCCCACGTGAAGGGCACTATATAAATGCAAGTTGTTGTTTGAAAGAAAATTTAGAAATCAGTAGTGTATATCCTTTGTGTGATTCGGCAAGGGTTTGTGGAAGGAAAATCTCAACCTGGATGAAAGAAACATAAAAAAGGCAATATTAACAATCTTATGAGTTGATAAAATTGGACTCGTGAGCCTAGCTCAACAACCTGGCTCAGTTGGTTGCACTCTTGCCTCTGATTAAGCAGATTGTGGGTTCAGGCCCCATGTTGGGACTTTGAACTCATCGAGTCTAGGGTGGCACTCCAAAACAGTGTTGGGGAAAGAGTGGTATTTTTGGAGATGACATCTATTGGATGAGATGTTATTGAGGTCCTGTCTGCTTGTTCAAGTTTTGGCCAACAAACCCCCCAAATAAACTTGGTCATTCATTGTTTTTCAAACAGAATTGTTTGCAAATTGACTGCTGTGTTCTCTGACAATGTATCACGTGAAGGACATTGAGACATTCTTCTGATGTTAATTACATTTTATACCAGTTTGTCACCACTGTGATGCCTGCCCAACTGAATGGATATTTTGTTTATGTTATTACATTTAGATTGATTTACCTGGATTAAATAATACCTTGGTAAAACATTCAGAGATATTTGAAAAGGCTACTGCTAAATGTTTTCGTATTGTGCAACAAACAAATACATATTTAAGTAGTAACTCGAAAATATTATTTCCATATCAGTAATAAATTACCTTATACTCCTATTGCTATGATATAGATTTTTTAATATGATTTGAATAATTGGAATCTTATTATCCTTTGTGTGCTTTATGGTTCTTTATAGCTTAGATTGGTAATTTATGCTTTTTTTGTAAGCATTAATATTTTTAGCTCATTTTAGCTCAATGCATATTTTTCCTAGATAGTGTAGCCTTGATTACAGCTTCCCTCGTGTATCATATTACCAAAAACTCATTTGTCTTTCAAAAGTGATATCTGTCTTCAATAGCACAGAAAATACAATTGTCAACAACAATACAAAGCACAGCAAAATATGTATCATCAGGAGATATGGAAGTCAGTACAATTATACATAATACTAATTGAGATATTTCTGCAATAAGAGGATACAATTTTGTGTTAGTGGTTAAAAGTAATCTGAACTGCTAAAGCATTGTTATTTCCACAGAAGAGTTAAATTTACAGTTTTTTTTTACATTGCTATTCAGGCTACACAGCAGATTAGCTGATATCAAGTAGGAAAGAGTTTTCCCACTTCCAACCCTATGCAACCGGTTTTCAATCAACGGGCCTTATTATCGATTAACTGCTAGTACTGAAAGACAAACACATCCTAAACATAAAGCAACTCTGTAATATTTAAAACAAAAATATTGGATTGCAAAGAATAAATCATGTTTAATAATAATAATAATAATAATAAAGCATGAGGCGGAGAGCAGAATGTGAGATCAGGGGAGAGAGAACATGAATTGAGATCAGGGGAGAGAGAACATGAGGTGAGATCAGGGGAGAGAGAACTTGAGGTGAGATCAGGGGGAGAGAGAGCATGGGGTGAGAGGGAGAGAGAGCATGGGGTGAGAGGGAGAGAGAGCATGGGGTGAGAGGAGAGAGAGCATGGGGTGAGAGGGAGAGAGAGCATGGGGTGAGAGGGGGAGAGAGAGCATGAGGTGAGAGGGAGAGAGAGCATGGGGTGAGAGGGGGAGAGAGAGCATGGGGTGAGAGGGAGAGAGAGCATGGGGTGAGAGGGGGAGAGAGAGCATGAGGTGAGAGGGAGAGAGAGCATGGGGTGAGAGGGGGAGAGAGAGCATGAGGTGAGAAGGAGAGAGAGCATGGGGTGAGAGGGGGAGAGAGAACATGGGGTGAGATCAGGGGAGAGAGAACATGGGGTGAGAGGGGGAGAGAGAACATGGGGTGAGAGGGGGAGAGAGAACATGGGGTGAGAGGCGGAGAGAGAACATGAGGTGAGATCAGGGGAGAGAGAGCGTGAGGTGAGAAGGAGAGAGAGCGTGAGGTGAGAGGGGGAGAGAGAACATGGGGTGAGATCAGGGAGAGAGAACATGGGGTGAGATCAGGGGAGAGAGAACATGGGGTGAGATCAGGGGAGAGAGAACATGGGGTGAGATCAGGGGAGAGAGAGCATGAGGTGAGATCAGGGGGAGAGAGAGCGTGAGGTGAGAGGGGGAGAGAGAACATGGGGTGAGATCAGGGGAGAGAGAACATGGGGTGAGATCAGGGGAGAGAGAGCATGAGGTGAGAGGGGGAGAGAGAACATGGGGTGAGATCAGGGGAGAGAGAACTTGAGGTGAGATCAGGGGGAGAGAGAGCGTGAGGTGAGAGGGGGAGAGAGAACATGGGGTGAGATCAGGGGAGAGAGAACTTGAGGTGAGATCAGGGGGAGAGAGAGCATGAGGTGAGAGGGGGAGAGAGAACATGAGGTGAGATCAGGGGGAGAGAGAGCGTGAGGTGAGAAGGAGAGAGAGCATGAGGTGAGAGGGGGAGAGAGAACATGGGGTGAGATCAGGAGAGAGAGAGCATGAGGTGGGATCAGAGAGAGAGAGTATGAGGTAAGATCAGGGGAGAGAGAACATGGGGTGAGATGAGGGGAGAGAGAGCATGAGGTGAGATGAGGGGAGAGAGAGCATGAGGTGAGATGAGGGGAGAGAGAGCATGAGGTGAGATGAGGGGAGAGAGAGCATGAGGTGAGATGAGGGGAGAGAACATGGGGTGAGATGAGGGGAGAGAGAGCGTGAGGTGGGATCAGAGAGAGAGAGTATGAGGTAAGATCAGGGGAGAGAGAACATGGGGTGAGATGAGGGGAGAGAGAGCATGAGGTGAGATGAGGGGAGAGAACATGGGGTGAGATGAGGGGAGAGAGAGCGTGAGGTGGGATCAGAGAGAGAGAGTATGAGGTAAGATCAGGGGAGAGAGAACATGGGGTGAGATCAGGAGAGAGAGAGCATGAGGTAAGGGGGTGGGGGGGGGGGGGGGATAGGATGAGGTGATGGGGGAGAGAGCAATTAGGTGAAAGCAGGGGATAGAGCTGAGGGAAGACAAACAGAGAAGAGTGGGTGGGAAAACCTTCTGATAAAGGGGGGGGACACGAAGGAAGGGGCGGAGAGGAGGCGAGTCCAACTCTACATGTAACTGCAGGTGTTCGGTTCCTGGTCCAAACTGCATCCACACTCGCTGGAGGTCCAGGAACAGGAGGTGTTTAAGTTTCCATCCCTCTCACTTGCTGTTGTTTTCAGCCCCCAAAAAAACGGGGGCGATAAAAAAAAAAGAAAAGAAGAGAAAACTACTTTGACTGAGACTATATATATAGTTCTTCTTTTCATTTCCATCTCTATCTGCATTGGTATATAAAAAAAACAGATACAGTACAAAGAAAAATCAACAGCAGTGCAGGAGATTGAAAGAACAACAAAAAGAAAGTGGACAAACAACCCCCCCACCCACCCCAACCCCACCCCCCCAAAAAAAAAAATTGCACAACAATTCCAATCGAAAAGTCAATTTTGATTCTATTGGAAAAAAAAGCAGAAGGGGAACAACTCTGGGTGTAAATTGAGAGCCAAAGCTGTGAGAGTGGTGCGATTGGAGAAGATTGGACAACTTTCAGCACCACAGCTCCTGTCTGTCTGCTGCTCTTGTGAGGGTCTGTGTCTCTCTCTCTCTCTCTCTCTACCTCTGTCTCTGTGTTTGTCTCTCTTGTGTGTGTGTGTGTGTGTGTGTCTCTCTCTATCTGTGTGTGTGTGTGTCTCTCTCTCTTTCTGTGTGTCTGTCTGTCTGTGTGTGTCTCTCTCTTTCTCTGTGTGTGTCTCTCTCTTTCTGTGTGTCTGTGTGTCTGTGTGTCTGTCTGTGTGTCTCTCTCTCTATCTCTGTGTGTGTGTGTGTCTCTCTCTTTCTGTGTGTCTGTGTGTCTGTCTGTGTGTGTCTCTCTCTCTGTCACTGTGTCTCTGCGTGTGTCTCTCTTTCTCTCTGTGTGTGTGTGTGTCTTTCTGTCTGTCTGTCTGTCTGTGTGTGTGTCTCTGCGTCTGTTTGTCTTTCTTTGTGTGTCTCTCTCTGTCTGTCTATCTTTCTCTGTGTGTGTCTCTCTCTCTCTGTCTGTCTTTCGGTGTGTGTGTGTCTGTCTTTCTCTGTGTGTGTGTGTGTCTCTCTCTGTCTGACTCTCATTCTGTGTGTGTGTGTCTGTCTTTCTCTGTGTGTGTGTGTATCTCTTTCTGTCTATCTGTATGTGCATTTGCGTGTGGGTGTCTTTCTGTGTGTGTGTCCCTCACTCTGTGTCTGTGTCTGTGTGTGTGTGTGTGTGTGTGGGGTGGGGTGGGGGGGGGACAAAAGATTGTAGTGCAAAGTAACTGCTGATCCCGCCTGAAAGTAAAGTGAAGCAGCACTGCGGGCGATGATGGAGGCTGGAGGCAGTGGCTGCAGTTTGCTGACTGGCGCCGGTAAAGCTCCCAAACACTTGTGGAGACAACCCAGAGCTCACATCAAGGTGAAGCAGCGCGGCTTCTCGGACACAGACAAGTACCTGCTGCACCGCGCCATGCAGAGCTACGCCATGGACACGGGGGACAGACCCGGCCTCAAGAAGTCCAGGATGTCCTGGCCCTCCTCGTTCCAGGGCTTCAGACGGTAGGTCAGGACCGGACACACAGGACACACAGGACAGGGCACACAGGACAGGGCACACAGGACAGGACACACAGGACACACAGGACAGGACACACAGGACAGGGCACACAGGACAGGACACACAGGACAGGACACACAGGACAGGGCACACAGGACAGGACACACAGGACAGGACACACAGGACACACAGGACAGGACACACAGGACAGGGCACACAGGACAGGACACACAGGACAGGACACACAGGACAGGACACACAGGACAGGGCACACAGGACAGGACACACAGGACAGGACACACAGGACAGGACACACAGGACAGGGCACACAGGACAGGGCACACAGGACAGGGCACACAGGACAGGACACACAGGACAGGACACACAGGACACACAGGACAGGACACACAGGACAGGGCACACAGGACAGGACACACAGGACAGGACACACAGGACAGGGCACACAGGACAGGGCACACAGGACAGGGCACACAGGACAGGGCACACAGGACAGGACACACAGGACAGGACACACAGGACAGGACACACAGGACAGGACACACAGGACAGGACACACAGGACAGGACACACAGGACAGGACACACAGGACAGGACACACAGGACAGGACAGGACACACAGGACAGGACACACAGGACAGGACACACAGGACAGGACACACAGGACAGGACACACAGGACACACAGGACAGGACACACAGGACAGGACACACAGGACAGGACACACAGGACAGGACACACAGGACAGGACAGGACACACAGGACAGGACAGGACACACAGGACAGGACACACAGGACAGGACAGGCGCCTCCACACACCTTGACATGTGCACTGATCGCCGTCGCGGCTGTTTGAGAGCCGCGAGTCGCTGTAACACGGTCCGCAAGTGGCTGCAGTCGGGGCGGGGCGCAGCTTGGGATGGAGAGGGAGAGGGAGGGAGGGGGAGAGAGGGGAGAGGGAAGGAGGGAGAGAGGGGAGGGAGGGGAGAGGGAGAGAGGGGAGAGGGAGGGAGGGGAAGAGGGAGAGGGAGGGGAGAGGGAGGGAGGGAGAGAGGGGGAGAGGTTGGAATCAGCCGCTAATACACAATGTGCTGTTGGTGACCCACCGATCGCTGTGGTTGGAAAATGCAATGAATGAAACTTGGACTGGACGCTGTCCTCCCGTCCTCCTGCCCTGCCCTCCCCTGTCCTCCTGCCCTGCCTGCCCTGTCCTCCTGCCCTGCCCTCCCCTGCCCTCCTGCCCTGCCCTCTGCCCTGCCCTCCCCTGTCCTCCTGCCCTGCCCTCCCCTGTCCTCCTGCCCTGCCCTCCCCTGTCCTCCTGCCCTGCCTGCCCTGTCCTCCTGCCCTGCCCTCCCCTGTCCTCCTGCCCTGCCCTGCCCTCCTGCCCTCCTGCCCTCCCCTGCCTGCCTCTGCCTCCTGCCCTGCCCTGCCCTCCTGCCCTGCCCTCCCCTGTCCTCCTGCCCTGCCCTCCCCCTGTCCTCCTGCCCTGCCCTCCCTGTCCTCCTGCCCTGCCCTCCCTGTCCTCCTGCCCTGCCCTCCCTGTCCTCCTGCCCTGCCCTCCCCTGTCCTCCTGCCCTGCCCTGCCCTCCTGCCCTGCCCTCCTGCCCTGCCCTCCCCTGCCCTCCCCTCCTGCCCTGCCCTGTCCTCCTGCCCTGCCCTCCCCTGCCCTGCCCTCCTGCTTTGCCCTGTCCTCCTGCCCTCCCCTGCCCTGTCCTCCTCCCTGCCCTGCCCTCCTGCCCTCCCCTCCCCTCCCCTGCCCTGCCTGCCCTCCCTGCCCTGCCTGCCCTCCCTCCCCTGCCCTGCCTGCCCTCCCCTGCCCTGCCCTCCCTCCCCTGCCCTGCCCTGCCCTGCCCCTCCCTGCCCTGCCTGCCCTCCCCTCCCTGCCCCTGCCCTCCCTGCCCTGCCCTGCCTGCCCTCCCTGCCCTGCCCTGCCCTGCCTGCCCTGCCCTGCCCTGCCTGCCCTGCCCTCCCTTCCCTTCCCCTGCCCTCCCTGCCCTGCCCTGCCCTGCCCTCCCCTGCCCTGCCCTGCCCTGCCCTGCCTGCCCTGCCCTGCCTGCCCTGCCCTCCCCTGCCCTGCCTGCCCTCCCCTGCCCTGCCTGCCCTCCCCTGCCCTCCCCTGCCCTGCCCTGCCTGCCCTGCCCTGCCTGCCCTGCCCTGCCCTGCCCTGCCTGCCCTGCCCTGCCTGCCCTGCCCGGGGTGAGTGTTTGCAGGTGCAGCCTGTGCCGGTTTGGGGGGTTTGGAGTCGGAGGGGAATCAGCTTCACTGGGTCTCGGTGTGAGGTTGGGCTTCACTGTCCACATGGACACCGCCCCCCACCCCGAGCCGTGGGGAGACGGGCAGTGTGTGGGGGGAACACAAAACCAACCCCACCTTCACCACCGAGAGGTTATTGGTGAATGTAGGTTTTCAGCTCTCACTGTGTATCTGTACATGTGTCTCCTGAGCGAACATAACTGATTTGCAGCTTCAACAAAGACCAGCAACCTTGATGTTTCTTATAATTTGCTGCATCTATTAACCCTCCCCCCAAAAAAAAAATATATGTAACATTTATTCGTGACCCAGGCTGCCTTGTATGCTATAAATATGATTGTCTCTAATTTTGGATTAAGGTGATGTAGTTTGGGGCCAACATTAATAATGTGTATACTTTATATATAGTGTATATTTACACAGTGTATATATATACTGTATACACATATATTAATATATTAATAATGTGTATACCGTATATATACTGATATATATATACTATATATGTACACACACACACATACTTGGACACACAGTCATTTGCGAAACATATAAGAAAATGGCTATTCGTGTAAAATTCAGAGTTCGGATTTTTTTCAATGAGTTAGAGATGAAGATGCGGAAACATCTATTAGTGATGCCGATTCCCCAGTGCTGGGTGTTCAAAGTTTGTTTGCACTTAGCATTTACTGCAATGCAATACGAGCTGGAGATCCAGCTGCTGACTGACCATCTGACATCTGTCAGTAGGTAGTTTGGCTGCAATGCTCTGGAGTTGACTGGTGCAAACATGTGGGAGTGATTCTCTGAGTACCAACACACATACAAACCAGCAGAGGATCAGGCAGCTCGATACAGTGACCGATCAGATGACCAAGGTGGACACGATACATTTACTGTGTTTTTTTTGGGCAAGATCGCTCTCTGAATGTCAGGTTTCCAATTAAACCCAGATAAGTTTAAGGCAGTTTCGTTTTACCTGCATCCATGTATGCATGTCAAATGGACGGTCACACTCTTTATTCAAGGTTTTCTAAAACAACCAGTGATAACCCCAAACAAAATACTACACGTTTAGACACACATTGTGAAGACTGTAACACGCCTTTGAATTGATCCCCTTCCCCTCTCTCTCTTTAACCCCCCCCCACACACACCTCCACCCCCTGTAATAAAAATAATAATCCTTGCATTTGATATAGTGCTTTTCACGTCTTTTAGACGTCTCAAAGCGCTTCACAGAATAGACTGTAAAGTGAATTGACTGTATATTTGTGGGCGAAATGCGGCAGCCAATTGCACACAGCAGTGTCCCACAAACAGTCGTGGATTAAAACAACCAATTTGTTTGTTTTGAGCGATTATTATCAGGCATGTGGAGTAAGGAAACTTGCCCAAGGTTTTACCCTGCTGGGAATCAAACCCAGTTTGCAAAGCGAGTGCGCTAACCACTGAGCTGCAGGACTTTACTGTACCCAAGCAGGAAAGGCTGACTGCTCCTCCATCCTCCGTTAGCTGTTGGGAATTACATCCTTCCATGCTATACAATCTAACAGATGCCTCCTCCCCACTCCCTCCTTGGAATGTCTGACTAGGATTCAATGGAGGGAATACACTCAGCTGGAGGAGGTGGAATACGGTACATTGTTTTAAAAACGCAACCTTCTGCTGTGAAGGTCAACCTTTATGTTCAAGGGTACAGGGGACACTCAGCCTTGAAATAGGGAGTAAGACACACCATAACCAAAGCACAGTTATTTTGGTTAGAGGAGAATGGCCCAGTTGAGGTAAACCATTTGTGGGTTTCTGCAGGTTGGGCACCAGACTGACATGTTCTCTCTTTTTGACCAGCTGGTTTTCCTTGCATCAATTTACATTATTAATCTGCAAATTTTACTGATATATTATAAAACTATGCACTGTCTGGTATAATATTGGTCAAAAAAATATAACTTGGTTATTATTGGCTTGAGAATACTGGGGGCACATTTGACATTAATTACTCTATTCAAAGAGCCGGCACAAACTCGATAGGCCGAATGGCCTCTTTTTGTGATGCACAATTCTATGATTCTATGATTCTATGAATAGTAAGATTATAGTATTGTCAGTTTTGTGGCCATCAGCGCTGGAAAACTGCTGGAAAGTACATATGTTGATCAGAGTCAGATGCTATTCTGGAACTGTGAAACACTCTTCCTCAACTCTGCAAAATTCATCCTCAATCTCTCCACCTTCCCCCTTCCTTCCCCATCTATTATTATTATTATTATTACTTGCAACCTTCAGAAGCGAAGGAAAGGGAGAACGTTTTGAAAATTGAACCTAAACTTGTGAATACTCTTCAAAAGTAAAAGCATATCTTGACAATATTTGAAACTGTTTAAGTTGTGGTTATGCATGGTCAAATGTCATTTGATGCTTGGTTTTGAACATAAGACTGTCAGGATACTGTGCTGGCGTCTTCTATCTGAATGTTCAATTGCAAGACAGCTGAAAGCAATCCAGCTGAAAGTAATCCAACTGTTTTAATATATTGTACTTTTCAAACTGTTTTCAATTACAATAATAATTCTTGCATTTGTTGTAGCGCCTTATCACATCATTGAGATGCCTCAAAGCACTACATGAATTTATTGTGAAATCTAATGACTTGAGTATTTGTGAGCAAAGATGGCAGCCTTATTGAGCACATTTATGGTGATATAAGGCATTTGAAACAACTCCTATA